AAATTGTGTGATATGAAATATTCCAATTCATGTTTTATTTATATAGATTTATATTTATGTTTTGGTCATAGCACAATACCGCTTTTATTGTCCAATAGAGGGCAAAAATACAAAGAAAAAAATAAGAACTATATGTGTATGTATAGCACTGATGCCACTGAACATGTCGAGTGGTTGAAAGTAAAATAAATATTCAGGAATAATACTTTTACAATTTTTGTAAAATTGTATGTTGCGTTATATAAACTTATTCACATCGACTGCAGCACATGGGTTTTAAAATAACAGCCACTCAACTAAGTGGAAATAATATATTATTATTTCCATATATTATTAATATATTATTATTATTAATATATATAATAATTTTGTTTACATTTTATGAAAATAAAATAACATAAATTATAAAATAACATAAAATACATAAAAGTAAATTTACTTTTCTGAGAATGTTTAGGCCAGCAGAGAAGGCCTTGCTGGCCCTCAGGGTCCGCCACTGCATAATTATGATGACCATCTTTAATATACTGCATTTTTAAAAGCACCTCCTTGCACATGACACAACAATGGGTAGGTAGGTTATTGTCACACATGGATGCACAATCAGGGGTGGGAGGCTGTCTCCAAATGCCCACTTCATGACGGGGAAGTTTACATCAGCCACAAAGGGGGATCTTCTTAGATCCATCCATCCATTTTCCGATCCGCTTTATCCTCTCAAGCGTTGCGAGGGGTTGCTGGAGCCTATCCCAGCACGCCGACCTCTCCGACAATATTAGTGCTGTCAAGTGATAAAAAAAAAAAAAACTGTGAGATTAATTATTTATGATCTGTAATTAATTGATCTAATTAATCTCTATTTTAATCTAATCTAAAAAGTGCTGAGAAAAACCCTATATTCATTTTTAATTCATTACATTATTGAGTCAGATCAAACGACAAAAAAAGTGGCATTATAAAGCATTTCATTGTTTGTAAACAGGCTTCAGCAGATGCAGTCCTAGCCATTCACTTGCTGCTGTAGTTGAGACTAGTCCCATGTCCTACCTGCAACCTTTAATTTCGACCACCAGGGTGAATATCACCGTCTTGTCTGTTTTTGTAAATCTCCAAATAATTACAAAATAAAAATAACAATAGAACATCAGGTCCATAAAAAGTGCTTAGGTTAACATATCAAAAACAGAAAGAACATTTTTCTGAGCAATACAAGTACTCAAAACTGAACTTGCTTTGGATAATAAAAAATAAAATAGAGACCCTTAAATCACAGTGCTGTAAGTTAGCACTTCAGAAATATCAGTGTTCATCATGAGAAAATAAAGTGCTGAAATAAACATCAACCACTTCTGGTAGGCTACCGAGGACACAGCAGCTATGCTGACTTCATGCCTCGTACGCGGGGTGTTCTCCTCGAGTTTAGTTTGGCGAAGAGCTTTGCTTTAGCTCGCTATATTGCTAACATTTTCGGTGCAGATGTTAGCTGTGGATGCACTCGCAACTGGGTGCTTTGCATTAATGTGGGAGGCTAAACTTGAGCTGCTTCGGTGGTCAGCAAACTCCTCCTTACAAATTAGGCACAACACTGTACTTTTATCCATAGTGCCGTCAGGGCATTTTTGAAAAGTAAATTTTCCATTCATTGTGCTGAGATGCTCCTCCATTTTCACGTCTCCTCTCCTCAGAGCTGCTAACTTAGCCCGCCCAAATCCAATGGGAGCCAATCAGCTTATGCTAAACAAGCCCAAACATAATGACAGCCAATCAATGTCCGCTACAGGCTGTGACTGACAGTTGTTTCCCCACCCTCAGCGACTCGAACACAGGAAGCCAACAAATGAAAAGAGATTTTATAAAAAGGCAACCCACCTACAGAAACAAAGTTAGAGATTAAAAATTTGATTAATGTGATTAAAAAACAATGCGCTAAATATGACTGGAATTAATTATTCGTAATTAACGCAATAAATTGACACTTCTAGACAATATCGGCCGTAACATTTAATTCCCAAATAATGAATGATTCCGAATTTTACAGGACTGGTATATCAGTGTGAAGTTATACAACCTTGAGACCATCCCCACATGATGTACCTTTGAAAGACAAAGGAAAACATGGTCTCTCTTGCTCAAGTCCAAAGTAAATGTGACATAAGTGAACCTGCACCATTTTCAGAGCTACACAAAGTATTCAAGAGGTGCCCCAAGCTGATGCATCAGTTATGGAAGGAAGATCCTGCACGTTAATATGGAGGAGAGGGAGATTTGCTGAGTACAAGGAGGCATGCTATAGGCGTGTGGATTCCCAAAGAGGAAAACACAAGAGACTCTGAGCAGTTTATCATCATTTTGCTGCTCATGATTGAAGGGAAAGGAGTTCTTTAGCACGTTGCCAACCCTCTGGCAGAGTATCGCATCAAAACAAAAGTATATTGCAATATACGAGAATTTATATGGCAATGTATTAAAAACATTCATTACAATATAAGACAAAGTTGGTCATTTATTTGAAAATATATTGCATCATGGGGATGGGCAACCTAATGCTACATCTTAAGTAATATACAATAACATATTTGCTGTCATTTCTGTCCAAACAAATATTACCTTAAATGATACACCCATCCATCCATTTTCTAATCCGCTTATCCTCACAAGATTCGCGGGGCATGCTGGAGCTGGAATTGAACCCCTGCACCTCTGCACTGTGAGGCCGACGCGCTAACCAGTCAACCACCAGGCGGCTTAATTATCAGATGCAGTCCTAGCCATTCACTTGCTGCTGTAGTTGAGACTAGTCCCATGTCCTACCTGCAACCTTTAATTTCGACCACCAGGGTGAATATCACCGTCTTGTCTGTTTTTGTAAATCTCCAAATAATTACAAAATAAAAATAACAATAGAACATCAGGTCCATAAAAAGTGCTTAGGTTAACATATCAAAAACAGAAAGAACATTTTTCTGAGCAATACAAGTACTCAAAACTGAACTTGCTTTGGATAATAAAAAATAAAATAGAGACCCTTAAATCACAGTGCTGTAAGTTAGCACTTCAGAAATATCAGTGTTCATCATGAGAAAATAAAGTGCTGAAATAAACATCAACCACTTCTGGTAGGCTACCGAGGACACAGCAGCTATGCTGACTTCATGCCTCGTACGCGGGGTGTTCTCCTCGAGTTTAGTTTGGCGAAGAGCTTTGCTTTAGCTCGCTATATTGCTAACATTTTCGGTGCAGATGTTAGCTGTGGATGCACTCGCAACTGGGTGCTTTGCATTAATGTGGGAGGCTAAACTTGAGCTGCTTCGGTGGTCAGCAAACTCCTCCTTACAAATTAGGCACAACACTGTACTTTTATCCATAGTGCCGTCAGGGCATTTTTGAAAAGTAAATTTTCCATTCATTGTGCTGAGATGCTCCTCCATTTTCACGTCTCCTCTCCTCAGAGCTGCTAACTTAGCCCGCCCAAATCCAATGGGAGCCAATCAGCTTATGCTAAACAAGCCCAAACATAATGACAGCCAATCAATGTCCGCTACAGGCTGTGACTGACAGTTGTTTCCCCACCCTCAGCGACTCGAACACAGGAAGCCAACAAATGAAAAGAGATTTTATAAAAAGGCAACCCACCTACAGAAACAAAGTTAGAGATTAAAAATTTGATTAATGTGATTAAAAAACAATGCGCTAAATATGACTGGAATTAATTATTCGTAATTAACGCAATAAATTGACACTTCTAGACAATATCGGCCGTAACATTTAATTCCCAAATAATGAATGATTCCGAATTTTACAGGACTGGTATATCAGTGTGAAGTTATACAACCTTGAGACCATCCCCACATGATGTACCTTTGAAAGACAAAGGAAAACATGGTCTCTCTTGCTCAAGTCCAAAGTAAATGTGACATAAGTGAACCTGCACCATTTTCAGAGCTACACAAAGTATTCAAGAGGTGCCCCAAGCTGATGCATCAGTTATGGAAGGAAGATCCTGCACGTTAATATGGAGGAGAGGGAGATTTGCTGAGTACAAGGAGGCATGCTATAGGCGTGTGGATTCCCAAAGAGGAAAACACAAGAGACTCTGAGCAGTTTATCATCATTTTGCTGCTCATGATTGAAGGGAAAGGAGTTCTTTAGCACGTTGCCAACCCTCTGGCAGAGTATCGCATCAAAACAAAAGTATATTGCAATATACGAGAATTTATATGGCAATGTATTAAAAACATTCATTACAATATCAGACAAAGTTGGTCATTTATTTGAAAATATATTGCATCATGGGGATGGGCAACCTAATGCTACATCTTAAGTAATATACAATAACATATTTGCTGTCATTTCTGTCCAAACAAATATTACCTTAAATGATACACCCATCCATCCATTTTCTAATCCGCTTATCCTCACAAGATTCGCGGGGCATGCTGGAGCTGGAATTGAACCCCTGCACCTCTGCACTGTGAGGCCGACGCGCTAACCAGTCAACCACCAGGCGGCTTAATTATATATTATGCATGAAATGATACACAATTTATACATCGTAAATTTCTGCATGCATGCTGAAACAATGTAAATTCATGTGTTCAGGACATTCGCACATAAATTTACAGAGCGCTTCATCAACAATAGTCCAAATCACATTTTGTGTGATATTATTAACGTTTTGATTAATATTGTCAAAAGTAGGTGACTCAGATTGTTCTACATCAGGGGTGCCCATTACGTCGATCCTGATCTACTGGTAGATCTAAGACAGGTCCCAAGTAGATCCGAGGAGTGTCGAGGAGAAAAAAACAAACAAACAACCATTTGTGTGTCTTTGTACATTTTAGTAATATATTTTTGTGTTAATGTATGCTGAACCCTAATCATCCTATCAGTCTCATTTTCACAAAAAAAAAAAAAAAACTTAAAAAATTAAATAAAGCAGGTAAATCTTGAATTTACGGTGGCGCGTGATTACGTCACCGGAAGTTGTTAGCGCTCAGCAGTCTGCCTTTGCAGCTTGTGATCAGAGCTGTTGCGCTCTATCATTTATCGTCATTATTCTCATTCAGAGTTTGCTTCGTGTACAATTCACTGAGGGCACGGGCAAAAAATAGGAATCTTGGAAGGCCCAGGGAAGCACTTTAAAACGGTACGTGTGAGCTACGATAGTTAACAGGCTGCAAAAGTGCATCGCATGCCTCAGTTTCAGGCTGTTTCTCATTATGGCGTGTGTGTGTGTGTGTGTGTGTGCGCGCGCGCGCGCGCGTGCCGGTAAGGGTAGATCCCGGGAGGTTAGTTGATCGAAAACAGCACCAAAATATATATATTCTGATCGTAACATCTATCCATCATCTGAAACACTCTATCCTCACAAAGGTCGGAGGCATGCTGGAGCTTATCTCACCCATTTTCAGGCAGTAGGTGGGGGACACCCTGAACTGGTTGGAATTCAATCTCAGGGCACATGTCGACAAAAGACCATTCACACTCACAATCACACCTCGGGAGAATTTAGAGTATTCCATTAACTGACCATGCTTGTTTTTGGAATGTGGTAGAAAACTGGAGTACCCGGAGACTGCACTGAGGAAGAGCGCAGCTGGAATCGAACACTGCACCTCTGCACTGTGAGGCCGACGTGCTAACCAGCTGACCACTGAACTGCCCTAGGCTAATAATAATAATAATAATAATAATAATAATTCTTTTCATTATTATTTCGGGGGCATTTTGGCCTCTAATTAAGCCATTACAAATCGCCACACATGAATAAAGAAAATAACATGCACACAATAAAATGAAATGTAACATGCTGAAAGACAGACACACCTTATAAAACAGTGAAACACTTTATATTGCCGGGGTTATCAATTGAAGGTCAAAGAAGTCCATATGTATTCAAGCTGAGGGCTGGAAGATCATAGCATGCATTGTTTCAGCTACAAATATGTTGTCGTCATCCACTTGACACATATATAACATTCCATTTACAATGGGGCCTTGAAATCTGGGTGTAATTAGTTTCGTGACTTGACCACGTGAGAAATCCAAAACACTTGTATCTCAAATCATCTTTTCCGATTGAATTGAATTGAAATGCTATTAAGCTTTCCTCACCCCCAAAAAACAACAAAAATGGGATAGTGTGCACATTTATCAAGAAAAAAATATCACTCCAGTATATTTTTTGATAAAATCAAAAAGTAATGACACAAATAAATAAAAATAGATTAGTTATTGTCACACTGCATCATTTATTAAATGCTGCTACTTCTGTGTTACCCGCCTTGGCCACCTGGGGGCAGAATAAAACAGACAAACGGAAACTGCTCTTTGGTGGAGCGGCAATAACTTTTCGTCAGCACTTGGAGATGAGGGGCTGTAGGACCCCGTTCTTGATGGAGATGCATGAGAAAACATAATACAATTTGAAGTAAGGACAAAGTATGTGCATGTGTTTTTCAATTAACAATGTACTGAACACAACGAAGGAGTCGACTCGAAGCAATCAAAAAATAACCACATACAGCGTTGTCCCCCCGCAGTGTGAAGGGTTCGCTTGCGCTAAAATTCTCTCTCTCTCTCTCTCATATATTTCCCACTCAAATATCAAAACTCCTGACCAGCAAACCAACATTATGTGCAATAACTCCAGACAACACAGATTCCATAGTTGACACGTTTAAAAATTTTCGATAAAAAGGCAGGAAAGAAGTGATATGTGGAAAATGGTTCTTTAATGAACAAACAAGATATTATTCAGGAAAATGTGGGGAGCACACTGGCTCTCAACACAGGGTTGTCAAGTGATTTTTTCCCCTCTTAGGGCTGACAAACAACCCTTTCGACGTCACTTTGTGATCTGTGAAATGATGCTTCCACCTGTCTGTATTCTGCCAAGCAGAGGAGCTGTAACAACTTTGTCCGTCATGAATTTTTCTTCCTTTGTGATTGTGGGAGAAGATACTGCACCCCCATCATGGAAACGGTTCACCATGTTTTGATTCAGTCGGCGAAATATGACAATAATTCAGAGGGAACCACAGTGCATGTCTTAAATCTTGCGTAATACTCCCGTCACCTCCAAAATGGCGGATATGTCTGTTGACGTCGATGTGACGCTAGAGATGTGGCAGATAACTGGTGACCTTGTTAAATGAGTGCTACCTTTCAAAATGTTCATTTCATCACTTTTATTTTTTTTAAAGAAATACATATAAGCCTTGTAACAAAAGAAAAGTCCTCCAGATATTATTGCATGTAATGTTCGACATCATTGGATTTTTTTATTTCACAATTACTGCTGACCATGGCATTGCATGCTATCCTATAGAGCAGGGGTGCCCATTACGTCGATCCTGATCTACCGGTAGATCTAAGACAGGTCCCAAGTAGATCCGAGGAGTGTCGAGGAGAAAAAAACCAAAACAACCATTTGTGTGTCTTTGTACATGTTAGTAATAATTTTTTTTGTGTTATTCTACGCTGCACCCTGATCATCCTATCAGTCTCATTTTCACCAAAAAAAATATTTAAAAAATAAAATAAAGCAGTTAAATCTTGAATTTACGATGGTGCGTGATTACGTCACCGGAAGTTGTTAGCGCTCAGCAGTCTGCAATTGCAGCTTGTAGTGATGGGAATGCCGGTAAGCGTAGATCCCGGGAGGTTAGTTGATCGAAAAGTAGATCTTCGGTCCAAAAAGGTTGGGCACCCCTGCTATAGAGAATGGATTTTTGCAACTTCTAACAGAGTCAAATAAAATATGAGGCAAAAAAATGTTTACAGATTTACCCTCTACAAGTTCTCAATTTGATTTCTCAAGATGGAGGCTTCTGTTGCCATCTCTTCCTCTGATCTCCACTTTGAGGGCACATCCTCATCTTGGCCATCGTGTTTTTGGAGCTGCAAATACAAATGACAGCGCAATATTCAAATGTGATTTGTTTTACTTTCCTCACATGGCATGAAACATGATCTGGAATGTTGTAAGGTGAATGTTGCAAGAAAGGCACAAGACAAAATGATGGGTGGAAACGCTAGTGTAGTGGTCATAGAAACCATTGATAGATACAATCTTACACAGTATTACCTCAACTCAACTTTATTATAGAGCACTTGAAAACAACCACCGCTCTGTACAAAGTGTTGTACGTGTAGCACAAATAATTCATACGACAACAAAAGATAAAACAAGGAATTAATAACGAAGACAGTCGAAAACAAAAACGGTAAAACTCAAAATCAAGCCTCATGCTGAGAGCCAAAAGCTAAAAAATAAAAATGACAACAGAAATATTTAGTCTTTGAAAAAAAAAAAAGATGCAACCAAACTAATTAGGAAAGCCGTCATTGTGCGGCAAGACTAATAACTCAAAACAAACAGGCAAAACAACAAATGAGCTCACTGGGGGATACAAGTGGAAGCTTTTGACTGGACAAACCAAACAGACTCAAACTCTATGCTCAGGAACCACGAACCTTTTTGAAACCCAGAGTGCCTTCCTGTGTACTGATTAATGCGAAGGGCTACCAATTTGATGCACACTTTTGAAAAAACAAATTTCTCAAATAAGCTTTTTATGTTACATTGAATTATAATAATATTCATTTGTGTGAAGACACTGATCATGTTCATGTTATCTCACAATAATTGGGCATCAGACAAATATCAGTATGCAGTACTGTACAGTACACTTATAAATCTCGTCCAGTGCCAATGATCATGTCAAAAACAATTATCATCCATCACTGATAAGCTATTTTTAGAAGAGGCCCACGGGCGACTCCTGTGTTCCATGCCCCAACCAGGGGCTACCTGGTTCACGTGCACCACATCAGTATAGATGATAGGTCTCAAACATACGGCCCGCGGGCCGGAACCGGCCCCCAAGGAGGTTCAATCAGTGAAAAAAAGTGAAAAAAAATGCATAAAAGACAGGGAATGAATATTTTTTATAAGGCGCAATTCATGGAGTATCCGCTAGGGCAGGGGTGTCAAAGTCAAATGGACAGAGGGCCAGATAAAAATTTTTGCTGCGAGCCGAGGGCCGGACTGATCGAATGTTCATTGAAAAATTGAAAAATGACCACATATAGTTTATTGAACCAAAGTTAATTGACTGAAAACCTAACAAATACATTCCAATATGATCAGATAAATAAAGCAACATTTTCTTATGGCTCTGTCAGTCAACTTTAATTTTCAACAGGCACAAAAAACAAATTTCCTTTGGATAAAAACACCCATAACATGAATGAAAGAAGCCGGTATTATTCAAGGCACCATCAATCGCCCATATTTTCTCTTTTCGCAAAATTAGGCTAAATTTACTTCCAAGAAAAACAAATAAGAGCAATTTTCGATCATTTACTCGCATCAAATACTTTTAAAACATAATTGGATTGAAATACAATAAAATAAAGTACAAACATTTATTAACCCATTGATAGATACAATCTTACACAGTATTACCTCAACTCAACTTTATTGTAGAGCACTTGAAAACAACCACCGCTCTATACAAAGTGTTGTACGTGTAGCACAAATAATTCATACGACAGCAAAAGATAAAACAATAAATTAATAACGAAGACAGTCGAAAACATAAACGGTAAAACTAAAAATCAAGCCTCATGCTGAGAGCCAAAAGCTAAAAAATAAAAATGACAACAGAAATATTTAGTCTTTGAAAAAAAAAAAAAGATGCAACCAAACTAATTAGGAAAGCCGTCATTGTGCGGCAAGACTAATAACTCAAAACAAACAGGCAAAACAACAAATGAGCTCACTGGGGGATACAAGTGGAAGCTTTTGACTGGACAAACCAAACAGACTCAAACTCTATGCTCAGGAACCACGAACCTTTTTGAAACCCAGAGTGCCTTCCTGTGTACTGATTAATGCGAAGGGCTACCAATTTGATGCACACTTTTGAAAAAACAAATTTCTCAAATAAGCTTTTTATGTTACATTGAATTATAATAATATTCATTTGTGTGAAGACACTGATCATGTTCATGTTATCTCACAATAATTGGGCATCAGACAAATATCAGTATGCAGTACTGTACAGTACACTTATAAATCTCGTCCAGTGCCAATGATCATGTCAAAAACAATTATCATCCATCACTGATAAGCTATTTTTAGAAGAGGCCCACGGGCGACTCCTGTGTTCCATGCCCCAACCAGGGGCTACCTGGTTCGCGTGCACCACATCAGTATAGATGATATGGTGTCAAACATACGGCTCGCGGGCCGGAACTGGCCCCCAAGGAGGTTCAATCAGGCCCGCAGGATCATTTAAAAGTGAAAAAAAATGCATAAAAGACACGGAATGAATATTTTTAATAAGGCGCAATTCATGCAGTATCCGCTAGGGGATACACTGTTTTGATCAGAATAGAAGACAACAACAGTCTCAGTCTGTCACTGAGACAGACCCAACACAGCAGATGCTATCAAGGACATGTGAATAATACTTTATTCTTTACACGTTTAATAGCATTCTCCTTAGTTTGTAAGGTGTAGGCAGGGATTAAATTTTGATTTTATATGCACATGTGTAAATGGTTTAAAAAACCTTTCATTATAAATCTTAAAATGCATTATGAAATTTTTCAATACCAATTACTTGTTAAAGTTTTGTGCCTTTGTACAATCAGTGGGATCAGTTGCAACGCATATACAGTATGTGAATGATCAAAGTAAATTGAACATTTGTCTAAGGAAATCTAAGGTGCTTCATGAAATGTTTTGTAAAAAATATGTTAATTAAATTTCAACATTTTTCCCAGTGCTTCTATAGACCAAAACAAAGGAAATAAATATTATTTTGGTTATATATAGCAGAGTATGGCATAATTTTAATTGTCCGGCCCACTTGACATCTACCGAGGCCGTATGTGGCCCACAATGTGAAATGAGTTTGACACCCCTGGTAGAGATAATTACTGACAGGTGGACAGAAGGAAGTAACCACTAAATAAACAAACAAGTCAAAAGAGGCTGTGGTGAAATATGGGTTAAGCATCACAAAAATGTGGTGAGCAAAGTATTTAAAATGAAATATTAAGTCATTTTCACTATAATTCTACGGTAATTTATTCCACTAATTTTGCTCACATATTACATAAAATTCTATCTTCTACAGTACGTTGTGTGTCAGAGTCATCAAACACATCAAATGTTTTCTCTCAACAGCAAAATAATGGTACCGTATCTTCCTCACGATAAGGCGCACCTAAAAGCATGCAATTTTCTCAAAAGCCGACAGTGCGCCTTATAATCCAATGCGCCTTGTATATGGATCAATATTCTGATTTCTTCGACGTGGTATTTTAAATGTTCTGAAAGCGCTTTGTTCCAGCTGCAGCGGTTGTGAAGGCTCAATATAAAGTTGTATTGTATTGTATTCCCTTTAGCACAGTTCCATCTAGTGGATGCATAACGCAACTGCAGCCACTATTGTAGCTTCCCTTCTGTGCGCCTTATAATGCGGTGCGCCCAATATATGAAAACAGTTTTAAAATAGGCCATTCATTGAAGGTGCGCCTGATACTCCAAAACGCCTTATAGTGCGAAAAATACGGTAATTTGTAACTGTTCCAGTACTTTTGGAAGGGAGTGTGAGTGTAATACAGCCATTGAAAAAAATATGAGACCACCCTTGTTTCTTCAGTTTCCTGTTCATTTTAAATGCCTGGTCCAACTGAAGGTATGCTTATTTGGACCAATATATTTATGACACCAAAAAAGTTGAATTTAAGAGTTGTTTTCTTGATAATTACCAAAGTTTTTCTTGACGATATCCATAACTGTGGCAGTGGAGTAGTGTGTTGATCTTTGAATCTCTCATATGGCTATATGTGTGCATGGGACCCACACCAACGTTTTAATCAAAATATTTCATGGATCCCGAAGGAAAATGTATGTTGTTTGTATTATCTGCCGAAGTTATTTATTAACATCATTAGTTTTTTTTTTCTCCTCCCACCACTTACGTTAAAAGTGTACAAGTGGCCACTCTCTTTTTTGTCACAGGACTTATTTTCAAAAATTGCCCACAATAGGCAATTTTTCCCCCCGTCCCCCGGGACGTGTTCCTCTATTAAGCCATTATGAACCCACTCAGGTCCTACCCTTCCAAAAACTTCTTACACTTAATAAATTTAACTTTTTAATTCAAAATAAAAAAGAAATACCAAGCTGCTGATTTTAGGCTATATTCATAATTAAGGTGAGCGGAGCGCACGCGGCACCCCGCCAGCACATGACGATGAAGACGACAAAACATCAGTGTGATCACTATGTTCAAGTTTTTCTTTTTATCTTAAACTGGCTAACCTTGACCCTTTCATGCAACCTGATAACATGATAAGCTGTCCACTGTAGTGACCGCTGTCCTTGAAAGGGTTAAACAGAATCCAATGTTGCAGTGTAACCAAAGATGGATCATACTTGTAAATTGCTGTTGTGCAAACTGAAAATTCATTTCCAGTCAGTGGGAGCAGACCTGGTCCAAATGCGCTCACCAAATGTCGACAATATATCATATTACAGTAATTAGTGCAAAAGAATTCAGCGGCAGTCACTTTCTGGTCACCTGCGAGTAGTCTGAAAACGGCAATCACAAATAACTACAACCACACTAATGGCGTCCTGAGTTTGATTATGAATCATTTGATTTTTATTTCATCTATGCCCGTCATGCAAACCATGACTCGTCCACGTGTGTGGTGCACAAGCATGGATGCTGGGCAAAACTGATCAATACACACTGGGTTTACTTTTGCCGTACCAACTTCAAACGCGTTAGGTCATGAGCACCGTGTTCTGAGTAAATAACTTTACGAGATACACAGTACAAAAAGTACTGTACTGTCTGCATCCATGCCCTAAA